AGCACCAGCCCTGGAGTCAGGAGGACCTGAGTTCAAATCTGGCCTCAGACACATAACACTAGCTGTGTGACCCTGGGCAAGTCACTTAACCCCATTGCCTAGCCAAAAAAGGAAAAATAAATAAATAAATTATTGAGCAGCTGCCAGTTTGCTTTGAGAGAGGGAGTTTCTTTGTATCCCCAGTGCTTAGCATAGTGCCATCATGTAGTATTAATAATATAATAATATCTATAATACTTAACACTCATTTAGCACTTTCAGATTTGTGAAATGCTTTATAATTATTATCTTATTTGATCTTCACAACATCCTTGTGAGGTAGATGCTGTTATTATCTCCATTTTACAGAGGAGGAAACTGAGGCAAACAGATTTATTAAACCTAAGCCTAATATGTGCTAAGCTGGGCTAGTTGAGGATGATACAAGGACAAAACTGAAACAGCCCCTGCCTTGAGAAAGCTCACATTCTGTAGGGAGAGATAGAATGTGCACAAAATGAGCTACAAAAATGGGGTCCAGGCTAGACCTGTCCCCTGTGAGGAAATCCCCTTTAAATAATACAGACCACAGGGGGCAGCTAGGTGGTGCAGTGGATAGAGCATCGGCCCTGAAATCAGGAGGACCTGAGTTCAATTCCGGCCTCAGACCAAACACTTGATACTTACTAGCTATGTGACCCTGGGCAAGTCCCTTAACCCCAATTGCCTTTAAAAAAAAAATACAGATCACCAAAGGAATCTTTGTACAAGATCATACAGCTCGTAAGTGTTTAAGCAAGGAATTGAACTCAGATCTTCCAGACTCCAGGTCCAGAGAGGGAGCCAAATCAAATCGGGACAATGCCATAGTATGCTATATTTGTCCACTGTGACACCCAACTGTCTAATGAAGAAACACCTAATAAAAGCTTGTTGACTGACTGACTCAGAGTTACCTAAAGAGATGAAATCACAAGTAGGGACCCAAAAAAATCTAGTTCTCAGGGTCATTTTCTCATTAAAGCTTCAGTTCCATGAAGCCCCAAACTGGAAGTCAAGAGAACTGGACTGTGCCACTCACTGTGTGACCTAGATCAAGTCCTTTCCTTTCTCTGGCCTCAGTTTCCAACCTCCCTAATAAAATGATGGGACTAGATTCGAGGGTCCCTCAGTCCTTTCACAGCCTGGCCATGCTGTGTCTTGGACCCCATCCCTACTCCCATCTCTGGCAGGACTGCACCATCTGCATGGAGCGATTGGTCACCGCATCCGGCTATGAGGGCGTTCTCCGCCACAAGGGTGTGAGGCCAGAGCTTGTGGGCAAGCTGGGCAAGTGTGGGCACATGTACCACCTCCTGTGCCTGGTGGCCATGTACAACAATGGTAACAAGGTATCCCTGGGGAAGGTGACCTTGGGGGGGGCAAACAAGGGGAGGTGGGAGAGCCCAGGATGGGGGAGAGGAGAGACAGGCTGAGGAAAATAGATGTACTGAGTGGAAGAGAGAGGCTGGCTAGGAGAGGGAAACTGAGGAAGGGTAGGCTGAGGGGGGGAGAGACAGACTAGGGGGAAGGGACAAGCTGAGAGGGGTGAAAGACAGACTGAGGAGAGAGAGAGAAATTGAGGAAGGAGAAACAGGCTGAGGGGGCAAGAGACAGAGGGAGAGAAGCTAAATATGGGAAAGACAAACTGAGGGAAAAGGGACAGACTGAGGAGAGAGACACAGGCTGAGGGGAGAAGAGATGATAGGGAGATAGACTGAAGGGTGGGGAGAGACAGACCAAGACTAGGGAAGACAGACCTCTGGAGGCTCTGCCATGGCTGGGCTCCTGGGCCTGAAGCTGTGCTGTGGAGAAGGGCCAAGAACCAGTGGGAGAACAGCTTATGGGGAAGGGTGCTGATCCGGGGCTCTACTTTCTGCCCAGCAGGATGGCAGCCTTCAGTGCCCCACCTGTAAGGCCATTTATGGGGAGAAAACAGGGACTCAACCCCCTGGGAAGATGGAATTCCACCTCATCCCCCATTCACTCCCTGGCTACACGGACACCCAGACTATCCGAATCGTCTATGACATCCCTACTGGGATCCAGGTGAGTTGGCCCCCTTTACCCGAGACTGCAACTGCCCTGGTCCACAGGGTGCCCTTGTCTACCACTGCCATGCCCCCAGCTGCCCTCAGCCACCACTACCCCACCACCAGGTGCCTGACTCTGTCTCCCCTCTCATGCCTGCCCCTGGTGTGTAGGGGTTTAAATCATAGGGAGCCATTCCGGGGACCTCTCTGGACACCCCAGGAACTTGGGTAGATAATATCTGCCTGAAGATCCCACTCCCAGGGGAGCCCTCGGACTCAAGTGGGAGGAGAGCTAGTCTTAGGGGATCCGTTCTAGGAGATCTGCTGTACCTCACCTAGAAAGCCATCTATGGGGAGAAAATAGGGACCTGGGGACACTTCACTTCAGATCTTCAGATCTGAAGGAATCTGGGAGAGTCTGTAGGCCCTTAGACATGAGCTCCAGGGGATAAAACTAGGTTGTTCTCTGCTCCACCTGCTGGCTGCCAAAGATAATCCCTTTGTGTCCCCAGTACAGCTCTCCCAGCTCCCAAAGTTTTTTCCTTTATTCAAGGTTTGGGGCTTAGGAGAGGAACAGCGAGGGCAGAACTTAGCCCAGAAACTAGGCTGCAGACAGACGAGGGGAGGGGATGAATTCCCCCTCCCTGAGCTTGGCTTCTCTCTTCCCTCCCCACTCTGCTGTTCTCCCCACCACTGCAGGGTCCTGAGCACCCCAACCCTGGCAAGAAGTTCACAGCGAGAGGCTTCCCTCGGCACTGCTACTTGCCTGACAACGAGAAGGGCCGCAAGGTGGGTCATCAGGAAGGAAATGGGGGGGGACAAGGGGGGGCAAGAATTCCATAGGCTGGCCAGACACCACAGCTGAGGGGAGAGGAAGCAGAACTAAGCTTCTCCCCACCTCTGCCCTCCCTCAAGGCTGGTGAGACCACAGTGGGCAGGCTTTGGGGCTTCTCTGTAGGGTCCAGTGCCCAGATGGCACCTCTTGTCCCCAGGTTTGAAAGTGCCAAGTCACCCCAAGTGAATCTGTGTTACTGTCAGAGCCAAAAGGAGTCTTAGAGGAGAGAATGTCAGAGCTGGGAGAGGCCTTAGGGATCATCTAAGAATACCATCCCCTCTCATTTTATGGAGGAGGAGAAAGTGGCCTCAGAGGGGAAATGGCTTGCCCAGAATCACATACCAAGTTAGTGACAGAGCCTTCTTTCTAAAGTATCCTCCCACCGGCCTCAGACACATAACACTCACTAATTGTGTGACTCTGGGCAAGTCACTTTACCCCAATTGCCTCCCCAAAAAATAAAAAAAAGTATCCTCCCCTTTGAGGTAACACATGCCTCTTAAGAGAGCCTCCTGGAGACAGAGGCTTATATCAAAAGAGAACTCTAGAAATGCAGCATCTGGCGTCACCTGTGCCAGGAAGATCTTGCAGAAAAGGAGCTTTCTTGGGACCCCTTTTCATCTCACATGGGTAGCTGTCCTCCACCCTGGCTCTGCCCATAACTTCCTCGCCTCCATTGTCTCAGGTGCTCCGACTGCTCATCATGGCCTGGGACCGGAGACTGATCTTCACCATTGGCACGTCCAACACAACGGGCGAATCAGACACCGTGGTCTGGAATGAGATCCACCACAAGACGGAGTTTGGCTCCAACCTCACCGGACATGGCTACCCAGACCCCAACTACCTGGACAACGTCTTGGCAGAGCTCACAGCCCAGGGGGTCTTGGAGTCATCTTCAAAGGACTGAGACCTGGGGCCCTCTTCCAGGCTGTCCATGCTCCTTGCTCTACAGGACATCTCTCACTCTTCTATCCCTTCACCTTCCACTGCCCCCCACCTCCTCCAACAGGCAGGCTGCCAGGATCCCTCCTACCTGGGAAGGTGGAAATTAATCCTACCAGGGTCTAGGCTGGAGACAGATATTTAGATCTTCCCTCTTTCAGTATGACAGCAAATGACACATTGACAAGCGAACACACATTCTTTGGAGGGAGGAAAGATACACACTCCAAAAAACCCTCCAAGAAAACACCCTGGGCTCCTGAATGAAATAATACTCCCCATTTAATAGCATTCAGGTTACAAAATACTTTCCTCACAACAACCCTATGAGGTGGGCAAATCAGGTATTCATGGTTCCATTTTACAGATGAATAAACTGATGTTCAGGCAAGGGGAAATGACCTAGAACTGGAAGAAATCTTAGAGATCTGCTGGTCTGAACTACTCATCTGCTCAGAGCAGAAGAGGCTTGTCCAAGACCACACAGCCAGGAAGTAACAGATCTGTGCCTTGGCTGACATGCTAACCTAATGGGAATTCAGCATCCCACCCATGTTATCACACACACAGACACACACACACACACACACACATGCACACATACACACACATCATAGAGAAACACCCAGGCCTGTCTAGAAGCACCCACCTCCATCTCCCCCTCCCCCACTCTGTGTGTCTCTCCCTCCTTCCCTCCCTCTCCCTTTCCCTCCCCCACTCCCCTCTCTCCTCTCTCTCCCTTTCTCTCTCCCCCCTTCCCTCCTTCTCTCCCTCTCCCTCCCCCACTCCTCCCTCCCTCCCCCCCTCCCCCCTTCTCCTTTCCCTCCCTCCTTCCTTCTCTCCTTCTCCCTTTCCACCACATTGTCTCTTGCTGGTGGACAGGGATGGGCTTGGAGGTCTTGGGTGGATTCTAGGTTCTATGTTGTATGTGTTTTGGGGGGTGGGGGAGGGGGGAATCATGCACATATAATTGCCAAAATAAATGGATAACCCCAGGTGGGGAGGGGGGAGAGGGTGGCACTAAGGTGAAGGGGGAGGAATCTTGCTTCTTTTTCTCTGTCCCACCTTCCCTTTTACCCCCACCCTGACATCTACCTGTCCCTGTTGCAATCTGCCTATAGGAGGTAACAGATATGACCACACAGGTGGTCCTCCCCCACACCAAACCCTTTCCATCCCAACTGTGGGATTTCTGAGCCATCCCTTTTGAGAAGTGTAAGCCCCATCCTGGAGCCAATCACTCACTGGGGGTGGGGGGGGGTAGGGACTCAGATGAGACCTCCCTACCATGAAAACCCTTAAAAAGGAGAGTGGGTGACAAAGAGTTAACTTCTTTCTCTCTCTTTATTATTTTTTTTTTCTTTTGGTGTTGGGAAATCCAAAGATATAACAGCTCCCAGCCAACCAGGCACCTGTTGCCTAGGCAACTCACCAGCTCTGCCTCTGTCGATTGGCTGCCATTGTGGAAGTCGGCCAGGAGTTAAAGGGATGTCAGCAATTGCTCTTTCAAATGAACCACCAGTCCCACTCTGGGTGGAGAAATAAATCGCCTTTCTCCTCCCCATGTTGTCTTCCCATTGGTAAAGATTGGAGAATGGGTGTGAGGAAGAAGGTTCCATCACACTCCCTTGTCCTCTGGAAGTGGGCTTATCAGGATTTGGGGAAGGGAGTGGGGTAGATATTGCTGCCCCACTGAGCAAAACACAGCCTAGATCGTATGTTGGGGAAAGTGCAGTTCTGAGCAAGACCACAAGGTGGCGCAGCGATCCTAGCTCCAGACTGAGAAAGTTACTAGCCCCTGGGGGTTCAGTAGACCCCTGGAAAATCCTGGAGTCAACAAATCATATTAAGTGAAATCTGCACCCTCCCTTGTCAGTCCTAGAGAAAGATGTGGATCCACATTCTCTCTTTTCTTCAACTCCCCTCCCACCGTATACACACAGAGCCAAGTTTCCATACATTAACTCACTTGTCATCCATTCATCCATTCCCTTCAGTTACTCAGCACGTTTATTGAACCTACTATATAAAATGAGGAGATTGGACTATATGTCTTCTGAGGCCCCTTACATCCCTGAGCTTCTCAGTCCTGTCCCACTAGCCCCAGGGTATTTTCTCTTGGTAAGCCTGGGGCCAAGGGGGCTCCTGAAATTGCACACATAGTAAGTGCTTAATAAATGTTGTTTGGAAGGATGTTGGAAAAGAGAAAGGAAAGGCAGGGCAGGGATCCCTCCTAGGGCTGTGGTCCCTAGAGAACTGAGGGAGAACAGGAGTTGGCAGCAGCCCCTCCCTTTGCTCACCCCTCACAGGGCACCTTCCTGTCCCCTGCATAAGCTCACCAACTGTAGCAGGCATATTTAGGGGGAGTAGGAGAGCTAAGCCACCACCCAGAAAAATGTTTTTAGGGTCCCTTCCCCAAACGGCCACAAAAACACATGCCAGTCACGTCACCCCTTAGCCTACATCTGGGAGGCTCCTTTAGCTGAAACCTTCTGAGCTTCCTGGCTTTCCTTTGTAGGGTCGTTTGCCCTACCTCTAAAGTACCCTAGCTTATCTGGGGAAGGCTCTGGGAACGACAAAATCTCAAATCAGGGAGTGGAGCTGAGCTCCCCTTAGTGGCCAAAGGTAAAACTGCACCTTATTCTGGTGGCTCTGAAGTTGGGCAGAAGGAGCACGTGGGACCTCACCCTCCTAGGCTCTACTGCCCCACCCCTCCCCCAATAAAGCTAAATCTCCTCTTCCCTTTTTCAAGCCCAACTCCTGAGGAGGACCGGGGGTACTGGGTCACCGATTGGTTGAGGCATCCCTCAATCTGGGGTCCTGTCTAGCTCTGGGATTCTCCAACGCTCTCCATATCCATCTTGTGGTCTTTTCTTTGGTAGAGTCAAATCTCAGACTCCAGAATCTCTGCTTTGACTTAGCATGGTGTAGAGACAAGACATTGGATTTGGAGTCATGGGACCTGGATTTAAATTCTCATTTACTACCTATGTGACCCTGACCCTGTTTATCCTATAAACTAAGGGGACTGAACTAAATAATTGCTAATGCCTTCTCTCAATTCTAAATCCTAGAATCTTCTGGAAGGCAATATCCCCATCCTCACCCTCAATCTTCTCAGTCTAGGAAGACTGGGCTGCCTCACCCTTGTTTCTAACTTCAATCCCAAGTTATAGCTCGGGCCCATCCAGGCACAACAGGTCATGGGAGGAACCCCTAATTGATAGAGAATAGGGCAAGGTCATTCCCCAAAACTGATTCATGAAAGATTCTGGATGAGTGGGTAAGTCCCAGAACCTCTACAGACCAGCAATATCTGCTACCAACACTAGAGGCTTATGGTTGGGGCTGGGGGAGGAAGCACCCTCTCCTTCCCCTTCCCAAGGTTAGCCACCTAGAACTGAGAAGGTTCATGCAGAGCAGGCATCGTATCGGCCACCAAGGTCCAAAGGCAGGCCCCATAATGGGTTAACGAGAAATAAAGGATTGGACCATACAGGGACTGATTGAAAAAACTGGGAAGGTTTAGCCCAGAGAAGAGACAACATAAAGGGGACATGATTGTGGTCTTTACGTATATAAAGAACTGAGAGGGATTAGATGTGTCCTGCTAGTCCCCAAAGGGGAAAACTTGGAGCAGAGGGCCAGAATGTAAAGTTCCAAAGTGGCATTTTTTGACTCAATGTTAAGAAAGGCTTGCTAACAATGATATCAATCCAGAAAGGAATGGGTTGCCTTGGGAGATAGTGAACTCCCCATCACTGAAGGTCTCCAAGAGAAGAATGTTGTCTGGGATGTTGTGGAGTATCAGAACCATGTATGGAGATAGGTTAGAAGAGACGGCCTCTGAACGTTTCTTCCCAATCTGGGATTTCACGATCAGGCTGAGACTGGGGAGCGAGGTTCAAACACACAGAACGGGGCTGCCTGGGGCCAGAGGGTCCATGAGCAACTACTGAGGGTGGGCTAACAGGTCAAAATGGCTGCAAAAGTATCCACTTCTCACAGCCTTGGACCACCACCGCTTATGGGGGTCAGACTGGTTCGATCAACTTATAGGTGACTGGTTTGTTGAGGAAACAGAGGTTTGTGCCCCATCTGGAACGGTTAGAAAAAGCTCTATTACCCCACTGCGGCTCCCTGCCAGTGGAGGCCATGTCTCTCAAGGGAGAGTGGGAATGATTCCATGCTAGCCCATCTCCACTCCTGGAGACACCAATCAGGGTCCAAATCCTGCTTCGTCCCCCTCTTGGAGTGACATGCCTAGTTCCCAGGAGTCTGTCCCTGGCTCTGGAGTCAAGACCTCTATTCAAAACCTGACTCCAGCTCTTACTACCTGTGGCCAAGTCACTCAACCTTCCTAGGCTCAGTTTCCTCATCTGTAAAACGAGGGATCGAACCTGATGACTCTTGAGGTTCCTTAGATCGACGAGCCCCAGAGGGAGCCCGGTCTTCTCTGCTTCTCCGGATGGAGCCTGGCTTTCTGCTCCATTCCAAGATGGTACCCATTAGCTGGGGCACAGGACCTTCAACTCAGAGTGGGGCTATGGGTAAAGGGGAAAGTCTCAGCACCATACCCTGGACGGCAACCCAGAGGGCACCCCAAGGCCAGTGTGGGCTGTGGGCCATCTGAGAAACCTTCCGGCCTCCTCGGCCAATGGCGCCGGGTACCTCGGCCTTGACAGCAACCGGGGAGCTGGAGGTGTCATCTACAGCAAGGGAGCCTCCAGGTTCAGCGTCTCAGGGTAGCCAAGCAGTGAGTAAGGGGGAGGGCAAGAAGAGTCAGGAAGCGGCCCTGAGGAGAGACAAGGCCAGGCCAGCTGTCTTCTGGGCTCCTGCCCTTTCCTATTCATTGGACTTAGGCTCTCCCTTCCCTGATAAAAAATGTCCCAGGACTATGGGGAGAGGACGGTCCTGGACTGAAGGATGGAGACCTTAGGAACGAAGGGACCCTCGAGCTGGTTGCTCCTTTTCTTGCTGCTCAAAGGTCTTGTGGGCCTGCTCCAGGTCTTCAATCACAGCCAGCAGATGGGCAGCAGCTGCAGCTGTGGGGGGCCTTTCCTGCTCAGGGACAGCAGATCCCTCTCCTGATGGAAGAGAAAAGGAGAGAATAGTCAAGAGACTGTGCCACCCTGACCGTGAGGACAAAGTCAAGTATGTTATCGGGTCAGAGTCACTGGTTTGGAATTAGGATTTGAGTTCAAATTCTGGCTCTACTACTCGCTACCCAATACCTGCGTCCAATCACTTTACTCCTCTGGGCCTCAGTTTCCCTATTACATAAAACCAAAAAGTTGGACATGAGCTCAAAGCTCTAAATCTGATGAACTCTCCATCCAAATAAGTGGAAGAATCGGGGCCCCAGAGAATACCAAAGAACAGATGAAATAATTCCCTGAGCTGTGGAAAATATTACGAGGTCTTCTTTTTGGGAGATGTACCTGCTAGATTCCGCTAATACTAAACTGGAGTACACAGCAATTTGGGAAGGTGGAATGGGATCAGATGCTGGACACAGGTGAGTGAGAGGGAATCCTAAGGCCACGAGTGCTTGAGAACATTCTAGGTCAGTAATTCTGGCTGCCAAATAGGGTTGTGAAGCTGGTTGATGACTTAGAGTTGGAACCATGGATTTTTGTGCCTGGGACAAACACCACCAGTGGGGGCTCGCCTAGAATGCAGCCACTAGATGGCAAAGGAGTGTGCATGCATTGGTGCTGCCACTGGAAATGGGGCAAAGCAAGGCAAGTGAGGAGCTGGGGCCAGATGGAGCTGTAGGTGCTCTTTAAATTTTCCACCCAGAGTCAAAGTGCTAATGCCCCCAGGGGCTCCAGTTAGGTACCAAGAGTGACAGTTGGAAACCCTGGCACTGGGCCCCATGCATGCATAAATGATGAGAATATGCCCACAGGGAAGTAGAGAAAAGGAAGAGGGCTCCAACCAGATGTTCTCACCTCCTGGGCCACTCTGGCCTTGTGTCACTTCCTGTTCCAGCTTGATCTCATCCTTAGAAAACTCAATGTATTTCTTCCTGGGCAGAGAGAAAGAGAGCGAGACGGAGAGAGACAGACACAGACAGAAAGAGACAAAGACAGAGCCAAAGGCAGAGAGAGACAGAGCCAGAGAGACACAGACAGAAAAACTGAGACAGAGACAGAGACAGAGAGACATAGAGACAGAGACAGAGAGACACAGGGACACAAAGAGAGAGCCGGAGAGTCAGAGGACCCGGGCTTATGCCCTAATTCTTTCACTTATACCTGTGAAACCTTCAAGTCAATTTCCTTCTCTGGGACCCGTCTTCCTCATACGTGAAATTGGTGGGGGGTAAGTAGGGAGGGGGTGTGACCAGATGGCATCTAAAGTCCACTCTAACTCAGCATAATCACGTGTGTTAATAGATTTAGAGCTGAAACAGACGTCTGAGGCCAGGTAGTCCAACCCCCTCCCATTTTATAGATGATGGTCTAAGGTCCCTCCCAGCTCTGACACTCAAAGAGACAGTGTGGTATGACAGAAATAGTGGGGACCTCGGAGTTAGGAATACCAGAGTTTGAACTATACGTGAGCCTGTTTTCTCATCTTTAAAATGGGCATAACACCTTCAGTGCCTCACAGGACCGTGATGAGGATCAAGTGAAATAATATGTGTAAAGTCTTTATAAACCTTAAAGTATGTGTGTATGTATGTATATTACACATAATATATATGTATATTATACTATATATATGCATATATATATATGCACAGTGCTGGGTACATAGCAAATACTATATAAATGTTGGATATTATATATGTATATACACATATATCAGCTATTATCATTATTATTATTTAAATTTTATAAAATCTTATCTCTGAGTCCATGATCCTGTGGTAGGAAAGAATGCTAGATTTGGAATCCAGAAGACCTGGATTCAAATCCTGCCTCAGTTATTTACTACCCATATAATCCTAAGCAAGTCACTTACTTTCTCTTGGCCTCAGTTTCCTCATCTGTAAAATAAAGCTAAAGTCCCTTTGAGCTCCTATCCTGGAAAGGATGCCTGGTCACAGTGCTGACCTCTGGTGGTCATAGTTGCTACTGCACCTCCCCAGCTCTCTTCACCCTGAAGTCTCCTCCCTCCCCTGAGACTCATGAACACCCACCTGAGCTTGTCCCTTCCCAAAAGCAGCTGCCGATACACCATCTGAGCCTCTGCGTCAGGGTCCAGGGGGTCACTCCAGTCTCCAAGGGTCACAGCTGAGTGAGTGCGGCTACAGCCCTGGACTGCCAGAAAAGGGCAGGGGGGACCAGATTGGCAGGTGGAGAAGACTGGAGGGGGCCAGGGGGCCAGGGTGCTAGGGGCGACTGGGGGGGATGGGGAGGGTGGGAGGTGGGGATGGTGTCTGAATTCCAAATCCTCACTGCCAATCCCCAGTTCAGGCCAACCTCAGCCCATCACTAGACCCATCCCCATGTGCCAGCCCAAACACGCCCTTGGCCCAGCCTGTGGGTCACCTGTGCGATCTTGCTGGAGGCAGCAGGTCCAGCGGTTGCCTCGGAAAGCCCCTGGGTGGCAGGAGGGCAGCATGCCCTCATTGCAGACACTGGCTTTTCGGATGGCCGACAACCACTGGTTCAGTTCATTCACATTCTGATGAGGAACAAATACTCAGGGTTAGACAGGGACCATAGTAGTGGTGGTAGTAGTAGTAGTAGTAGTAGTAAGAGGAGGAGAAGGAGGAGGAGAAGGAGAAGAAGAAGAAGAAGAAGAAGAAGAAGAAGAAGAAGAAGAAGAAGAGAAGAAGAAGAAGAAGAGAAGAAAGAGGAGAAGAAGAAGAAATGATGATGATGGTGATGATGATGATGATAACACAGTGGATAGAGATATGGGCTTGGAATCCAGAAGACCTGAGTTAAGGTCCTGCCTTTCACACATACAACCTGTGTGACTCTGAGCAAGTCACTTCACTTTTCAGTGCTCTAGGCAGCTCTCAAAGATTCTACTTTGCAAAGGAGTGGTGACCTGCATTGGTAGGGGGAGTTTCCTCATGCAGAAGTTCCAAATATTAAATGGGGGGAGGAGAGGACAGAACAGATGATGCTATGGTCCCTCCTGAAATCTAAAGCATCAGGGTGGTTAGGTGAGGGATTGTGGGTGAGAGAAGGGAAGGGAGATGAAGTATTCTCACCTTGCACTGAATGTACATGGTGTCCAGCTGCCCGTCCCTGGTCTTTGTGATGACCTGCATCATGTGCGGCTGCTGGAAGGCATTCTCATCCACCCTCTCCACGGCACAGATCCTACACACCGGGATGGAGGTCCGCACCTGCCCCGGGCCAGCCCCCAAACCCTGCTCACACCAAGCCGGAGGCAGGAAGGGAAGGAGGGCTCCCCTCCACCCACTAACCCCCCCATACCCAACCCCTGCCCCCAAGATGTCCCCACCAGCTGACCCTCTCCAGGAGGTCTAGCTGGAGAACCCAGGATGACCACCAGGGACCCACTGAGTACCTCTGATCAGGCTCCTTGGTTGGCTATGAGTGAGTGTGAGCATCTGAGGGTACGTCTGTGTGTGCCTATATGTGTATGCATGACAATGCATGTCCTGAAGGTAGCGGTGGACACTACTGCCTGTGGGTCTGGGCTAGTCAGTGTGTGTGTTTGTGTGTGCACATATATCAATCTCTGAGGCACTGAGTCATGTGACTAGAGCTCTCATCACCAAGAACACTCAGTTTTAAATCCTGTCTCGGATGCTTCCTTCCTGTGTGTCCTATAACAGTCATTTCACTTCTGTCTGCCTCAGTTTCCTCATCTGAAAAATGAAGATTGCTGAAAACCAGACTGAGTCACAGTCACATTCACCAAGTGATTTTACTTGTTTAAACAAGGGTAAACAGACTGTGATGAAAATAATTAATAATGATAACAACGACAACAACAGCAATAACTAGCATTTATATAGCACTTTAAGGTTTTCAAAGTGCTTTACAAATTTTATCTCATTTGATTCTCACAACAACCTGGGAGATAGGTGCAATTACTAAGACCATTTTATACACAAGAAAACTGAGATTGAGAGGAGCTAAATGACTTGCAGAATCAGGAAGGAAGAAAAGAAGGAAAGAAGGAAACAAGTATTTATTAAGCACCTACTATGTGCCAGGTACTGTGCCTTTGCAAATAGGATCTCATTTGATCCTCACAACCCTGGGAAGTAGATGCTGTCATTATCCTCATTTTACAGATGAGAAACTGAGGCAGTCAGAGGTCAATTGAGTTCCCACTACTTTATTTTACCGATGAGGAAACTGAGGCAGACAGAAGTAAAGTGAATTGTCCAGGGTCGGCTGGATTTGAACTTAGGTCTTCCAGATTCCAGTCTCAGCACTCAGTGCACGGTGGTGCCACCTAGCTGCCCCAACTCTACATGGCACCACTTTACATTTTTATAGGTTTGAAGGAGGAATCAATTAAGCAACAGCATTAAAGACATTAAGGATGCTATAATATTCTGTAGTATTTACGTCTCCTATTCTAATTCTGCAATATCCCTCTTTGATATTTGAGAATATTTTGTCTCATAAAGCATCTTTGTGATTTCATATGAATTGATTTGTCACTCATTTCTAATTATCAGAGCCAGAGTCAGTCTTGTTTCTCTGCAAGATATTTGTACTGCCTGCTTCATAGAGTTGTTGTGGGGAAGGGTTCAAATCCTGCCTGGGACACTTACTACCTGTGTAATGTGAGCAAGTCACTTCAGTTCAGCAGGCCTCTGAGGCCCTTTCTCTCTCTCCATCTCTGAGCCTATGATGTTATTATTAGAATCACAGAATTTATAACTGGAAGGGACCCTAGACATCATCTAGTGCTGTCCCTCATTTGACAAATGTTTTAATAGCACCCCTACATGAGACCCCTCCTTATTCCTTTAGCTGCCGCTGCCTTCCTCTCAAGTAGAATATTACTACTACCACTGTTGCGGCTGCTGCAACTACTACTATTACTACTATTGCTAATACTACTATTAATGTTACTACTACTACTATGATGATTATTGCTACTTCTATTACTATTACTATCACTACTACTATTAATATTACTACTACTATTACCATCATTATTACTACTACCACTAATACTATTAGTATTATTACTACTGCTAATAATAAAAATATCTAGCACTTATATTACACTTTAAGATTTGCAAAACCCTTTACAATATTATCTCATTTACTCCCCATAACAAACCTGGGAGACAGGTGTCATTACTGTCCCCACTTTACAGTTGAGAAAACTAAGGCTGAATAAAAATCTCTTTGAGTGTGTGTGTGTGTGTGTGTGTGTGTGTGTGTGTGTGTGGTCTCCGCAGACAAAATGTAGGCTCTTTGAGGGAAAAGACCCAACTCAATCACATCCTTGTATCCCCAACACCTAGCAAAGTGTCTGGCACACAGGAGGCGATTGATAAATGCTTGATTGATGAGGATGATGTCGATAACACATCGACAGAATGATTTAAAGTCTGTGCAGCACTTTTCTCCTGGGAATGGGCTGGGGTGCATGTGTCTATCTGTGAGTAACATTCATCACATGTTGAATGTGACGGCTGACCACATAAGGCTCAGAGATTTTAGCTATGATACGATCTTCACAATCACTTAATCCAACCTCATTTTACACAGGTGGGGGAGGAGGTGGGGGAGGGCCAGGGTCCCACTGAGTTCATGTGAGTGTTGGAGCAAGCCACAGTGCTCAGCAGCCAGAGCTTGGGGCAGAGGGAGTAGAGGCAAGAGGACAGGAGAAAAGCAGTGACGGTCCCCTTTCCCTCCCCTTTTCACTCCCTTTCCTCTTCTCCTTCTCTCTCCTTCTTTGCCTCCTCCCCTTTCCCTCTCCTGTCTACTCCCCCTTTCTCCCTTTTTCCCTCCTTTTCTGCCCTTCTCCCTCCCTACTCCTTCCTCTCCTCTTTTCTTCCCTCCCCCGATCCCCTCCCTCCTCAAAGCAAGCCTCCCAGAGCAGCCTTACCTGCCACTCAGGAGCCTTGGAATAGGAGAAGGTCTCACTGCTAAGGCAAAAGTACCTCTTCTTGAAGGCAAAGCGGGGGACAAGGGCCCCAGCCTCTGCCTTCCGAAGATGCAGGTAGCCTTCCTTAATGACCGCAGATGGGGGGAACAGGAGTCGTGGCTGCGCCTCCAGAGCTGGGGGAGGTCAGAAGGGGGAGTGAGGTCACAGCCTGACCCTACCCCCTCCAGGCCCCAGGAAATCTGCTTTCCTAACTCTCCCCCAATATGAGCTGTAAACCGAGCCCTTTCTATCCCTGCTTGGACAGCGCATCGGTGCTGGGCTGGGTTCCCAAGTAGGTGCAGCAAGTGCCCCAGCAACAGGAGTGGGACTGCTGCTATCAACCCCCACATACGCCCAGCTGCTTGACTGACAGAGCAACTGAGTGAGTGAATGAATGTTAAATGACTGAAGACCCAAAGATCTCCGCCCACCTCACTCATTTGGCATTGACTAAGGCTTCCCACTATACTGCTCCAAATATTGATGGCCTCAAGGAAAGTGGGATGGCAAAGGGAAAAGAACACTGTACTAGGGTTGGAAGGCTTGGGCTCTGCTCTCTAATCTGCCATTTATGTGCTGTATATCATGGGGCAGGACCCTTCACTATCCTGGGCCCCAAGCTTTTTCAGCTATAAAATGAAGTGCATAGACTAGGTGATCTCCAAGGTCCCTCCCAGCTCTGACATTCTGTATTCTGAGAACCCTCCCAGCCCTGACATTCCCTGTATCTACGGTTCCATTGAATATACTCCAAAATGAGATGCCCAAAGGGAGGCAAAAAAAAAATCCACATATAGGCAAAATTACTTAAACAACTGGTGATTTTGCCAGCATATGAAACCCTGTCTAGGAACTTCCTTTACCATTGCAGATCTTAACCAATGACTTGGTAGACTTAGGGAATGGTCTGACTGTCAGAGTGCCAAATGCAGGATTCAATCCCATCCATTTACTTTTCTACAGTTCCTCCATACACTTAAAAAAAGAAGGGGAAAGGGAAAGAAAGAGAGGTAGAGGAGAGAGGGAGGAAGAGGGAGAGAGCTCATACTCAAGTTGTATCCCAGGACAGAATGAAAAGAGGCTGCCCTAAGGATGTGAGAGGAGAGATGGTCACAGCCCAGCTAGCAGAACTCACCACCTTCAGCATCAATGTCTACCAACTTGTCCAAGAAAGCCTTCACCTGGATGATGCTCTGGAGAAGAAAGGGATGCAGGGGGACCATCCATTGCTCCTTTCCCCGGCCCAGCTGCTGGCCCAGATTGCCAATGCTCTGTACAGCCTGGTAGGAGGTGAACAATGGAGCAGGACCCCAGTTATCATGAAGGCAGCTTCTCCTTGGCCCACTCCCCTCTGCTGAACCCAGAAGAAGGGCCAGCTCAGGGCTGAGGAATTCTGGCAGGGGAAAGGGGGCATACTTCTCATCACTGGTGACCCAAAAGAAATTCCAGTGTCCCAACTCCCAGCCTATTGCTAACGTAACTAAGCGGAAAAGGGACAGGGGGAGACAGATGTCCCTTTGGATAAGATCCCTGCCCTAAGGAAGAACAGTCCCAGACTCAGACAATTTCATCTTTAATCCCTTCTCCCCTCTTTTGGTTCCCTCAACCCTGAGAGACCTTGCTCCAGGCCTATCCCCCCCACCTCCTTCCAAAGCTTCACTGACCTTGTGATGTTAAAAATGGTCTAATCAACTGAGTCATACTAAAGCTGAGTGAATGACTAATGGGGACAAGATCTGTGCTGTCTCCCAGGGGCATCTGGCACATTGGATGTGAGGCCTCCCCAGCCTCACATCATCCACCCCCCATGAAGGGATCTCCAGCACCACCAGCTCCACAGACACCTTGGCAAGTAGCAGCAGGGAACGGCCAGTCTGGGGATCAGCATGCTGGTCCCGGAGATCAAAGAGCTTTGGGGTGAGGATGGCAGGAGCAAAAAACCGGAGGAAGAGGAAGCCACTGATGGCCACATACTTCACATCCTAGACACAAAGAGAACAGCCCCATGGTATGAGGGAGGGGCTTGGCATTGGCCGTCACAGCTAGGGAGCTCAAAGCCTTCTCCCTGTTGTTCTCAACCCCTCTCCCTCTTTTGCAAAATGGGGAAACTAAGGCAGCATGGTACAGTAGAAAATAAGGCTAGATTTGTAGCACAAGGACCTGACTTCCATTTGAAACTCCATTACCATCTGCATGACCTTGGAAAAGCCACTTTATGAGAACTCCCAGTCTAGAAACTCCCTCTACCATTGCAGATCTTAATCAACGACTTGGCAGATAAGTCCCAGGGAAATGGTCTCAGGTTCCAGAGAAACCCCAGAGAGATTTGTACAACGTGATGCATAATACAGTAAGTAGAGCCAGAACAATTTATACAGCGGCCACAGTGGGGTTTGAAGGAAACCATACTGAAAGCCTTCAGAACTTTGATCCATGCAGGAACAACTGTAACTTCCAGAGGGCTGATAGTGATAAAGCAGCGTCAGAAAAGTGGGGGGCTGTCCGTATGAAACATACCTTTCCAGACACGGCTAATAGTTGATTCAACCTGCTTAACCATACTTTGTAATAAGGAAGGGTTCTATTAGGGAAGGGTGGGTCATTGGGAAGTCCTGAGGATTTGCCAGAAGGAAAAAAAAGAGCATCAACAGAATGTAATTTTCTTTAGGGCAGACTGTTTTTATTTTTGTCATCGTCTGCCCCGTGCCTAGCACAAAACCTGGTGCATCATGGGTGCTTGAAAAATGTGGGCTTGGTTGACTGATCAATCAAACATTTCCCCCGAACATGATTTCCCTTCTCTGGGCCTCAGTTTCCTCATTTGTAAAATTAGGAACTTGGACAAGATATTTCTAAAGTCCTCAATTCTCTGATCTGACGACTCTATGATCAATACTTCTGAAGGGGGCGTGAAATCCAGGGTGAGTCGTCAAAGATCCAGAGCTCTCTCTCGAACTGCCTCTCCCCAGCGCATTGTGGCCGTCGGTCAGGCTGCTCTGGGGAGAAGCCCCACCACCATCACTAACATGGCATCCAGGATGCAGCTGGCATCTCGAATCCAATTTCTCAGCAGCCCAAAATGCCAACTTCCCACTTCCCTGCCCACCCTTCCCCACCCCTTATCCTGGTTATATTTAGCCTTTGAGAAGAGTACTCAGGCTTTGCTTGTTTGTGTATCTCTGTATGGGTTGGTGCAGGGGTGGGGAACCTGTACCCTCAAGGCTCCATGCGGCCCTCTAGGTCCTGAAGTGTGGCCCTTTGACCGAATCAGCCACATGTGGCCTCGAGGCTGCAGGTTCCCCACCCGTCAGCTGGTGCGTACGTAGCGGGTGGTGTTTGGGGGTTCTTTAGGGGTTGTATTTAAGAAAGAGACTAGAAAAGAACCAGGAAAAAAAAAGGGTAGAAACCACAAAGAAAGTTCCAGTCAGCTATAAGGAATAACTTCCTAACAAGTGGGGCTGTCCCCAGTGGGCAGAGGGCTGCCTCAAGAGGAGAAGTCTACAAACAGAGTCTGGGTGGCCATTTGCTGGGGAGCCTACAGGCGCAATTTTTGTTCAAGGGCGGATTGGCCTCCTTGGTCCCTGGGGTCCTGATAAATTCTTAAAGTCCCGGAGTTCTATGCTAGACAAGAATCATATCCCCATCTCGCTGGGGGCATCCTGCTCTCCCACAGCTTCATCTGGAAACTGGTCCTTCCAGAATGATCTAAAGGTGTCTCTGTCCCAGCTGGGTATCCTGGTTCCCTGGGAACCTCCTTCAGGGAGACACTGGGAGGGGATGCCAGGAGAGACAGACCCTCCCACCCCAGCCTGCTTCCCCCGGCATCTTTGGGCTGCTCTTAGTGAGATCCCTGCTTCCCACTCACCTCCATTGTTCCAGGCTAATTTTAGCCTCTGCCAGCGTCTCATTGACTCGCTCCCCTGGGGGGGGGGGTTGGGGGAAGGGAGGAGGAGTCAGAATCAGAGTCTCTGGATAAGCGGTTCGCATTCCCTGTTCTGCTGGGTTCAAATACCACCTCTGAAACAACCAGGGTGGCCTTAGCAAATCACTTAACCTCCCTGGGCCTCAATTTCCTCATCTGTAAAATACGGGAAATAACAGCATCTACCTCACAGAGTCATGAGGGTCGAATGAGATCACCTTTATAAAGCACTTTGGAAACTTAGAGTGAACTCTAAATGTTAGCTGTTACCGTTGGCATTTTAAGGCTTGCAAAGCTCCTTACCTATCTCATGTGGGCCTCATTTACAGATGAGGAAACTGAGGCAGAGAGCAGTTAACTAACTTGCCTAGCTCCACACAGCTAGCAAGTGTCTGAGGCAGCATTTGAACTCAGGTCTTCAGACTACCGCACCACCTGGCTACCTGACTTGGTTTTATGAGTCCAGATAGTCATACATCTCATTCACTCTGAAGCGAGGGACCCCAGTAAGTGACCTGGGGTTTGCGGGAATATTGTTCTGTGTTCTAGGGTTCTCCCTAGGGAGAGATGGAAGAGCACCAGTTCTTGTGCAAAGGACCAGAGAAGCAGGCAATTCTACTGGGGAATATTACAAAACAATCAATCAACAAGCATTTCTTAAGCATCTATTGTATATAAGACACAACTTCATCTGCTTGGTTGGAATTTTAAGAGACCAAGGGTTCTAACTGGTGGGCCCCCCTTAGCTCCCAGCATGACCTTGTCTGAGAGCCCCAGCTTCAGAAAGAGTCCCAGCTATAGGAGGGAAGAGAGTCTGGGGTCCCTGACCTTATGGGGTGGGGAGAAAAGAGTTTCTCCATCCCTCAGTTTCTCTCTTCACTTACTAAGAGACAAGAAAGCTAGGTTCTAGGCCTGGCTCTGCTGAACAAGCAGAAGTCGCAACTTCTCTGACCCCGTTTTCTCCTCATTAAAATAAGTGGGTTAGGGAAAATCTCTACAGCCCCTCCCAGCCCTGACATTCCCTATTCTAAAGTCCCTTCCAGCTCTGACATTCCCTGTTCTAAGGCCCCTCCCAGTTCAGACTTTCTCTATTCTAAGCCCCCTCCCAGGCCTGACATTCCCAGTTCTAAGGTCCCTCCCAGCTCTGACATTCTATGCTTTCTGGGCCTCAATTTTCCCAATTATAAAGTGAAGATAACAGTACCTGACCTAGGTTCCCCACTGGCTTGTGTATGAATCAGTTGTGAAAAGAGAGTTTCTAAGTGCCCTGTATGCACGTGAAGAGGCCTCCATACCGTGTCTGCCTTTCCTTGGCCCCCTGCTCCCAAGCCCATTCCCTCTTCCCCTCTCTCTCCCATCCCAGGTTCTTCCCACCTCATGCTCAGTCTCAGGGAAGCGATCCTCCACCCTCTGGTGCAGCTGTCTGAAAGCCGCTCTCATGGCCGGAGGGCACCTGTCCACTGAGCCCACAATGGCTTCCAGGATCTCTCCCAGGTATCCAATCAGCAGCCCCAGGCTGTTTTCCCGCACGTGCTCCTCTGACAGGGTGCCTTTGAAGGAGATTCTCCTAGAGGGACAGAACCGGAGCCAGGCCGAGGGGAGTGAGCTGCCCCTGCAGGCTCAATCAGCCCCCTGCAGCTTGGTGGGGGTCTTCCACCCTAGGCAAGAAGGCTTAGCTGAATTCCAATCCATCCCACAAGGTCCCATGCTAGGCATCTGAGGAATAGAGGGTTAATTAGGAGAGGGAGCATCACATAAAGAGCTCAGAAGATCTAGGTTCAAATACTGCCTCAGCTCCTTTATGCCTGTGTGATCCAGGGCAAATCCCTTTACTTCTTGGGCCTTGGTTTTTCCACCTATAAAATGGGTAGATTGGACTAATCTCGCAGCTCCTTTCCAGTTCTAAACCTCAAACAACAGTCCTACCTAGAAGGTGCTTATGATCTGGCTGGAGACTTCCCCCTCCCTGGGCCTCAGTGTTCCCATCTGTCCTCATCAATTCCCATGAGAGAAGCCTTGGCTCTGACATGTTCTAAACTTGCTCCCAACTCTGGAATTCTCTGTTCTAAGCCTTCTCCAAACTGACATATACGTTCCAACGCCCCTTCCCACTCCGACAGTCTATGTTCTAAGGTCCTTTCCACCCCTGACATTTAAGATTCTAAGTCTCCTTCCAGCTCTAAATCCTGTGAGACTACGATAATATAGTTCTGGCCTCAAAGAGCTTCTGGTCTAATAGGGGAGACTCTGCCATTAATATTGGTATGACCTCAGGCAAATCACCCTCCCCCTCCCTGAGCCTTGGCTTCCCCAGCTGTCAGATGAGCAAACTGAACTAGATTCTCTCTCCTGGCTCTAACACACTCTGCCCTAAGGCTCCAGCATTTTAGTTTCTAAGGGCCCTTCCTTCCAGAACTGGCAGGCTAGAATTGTGTAGACGATGAGGGTGAGATGCAGAACTCCTCCCAGCCTGGCTCCCACACTGTCTTGACTCCCATCTCCAGGCACTGGCAATGGGTTTAGTGACCTGGGCAGAGCCCAGGGCAGAGTTTGGCAGGAACCAGAAAAAGGACTGACTTGGTAGAATCTTAGATGGACCAGGTGGCAACATCCCTTTTCAGTTACAGATAATTTAACAAGGGCCAATGGATAATTTTTCAGAAGCTTGTCTCTGGTCCATCAGATACTGGCTGGATGCATGGATAACTTAGGGTATGGCAGCCCATCCCCAATGCTTTAAATGAATAAGAAGCCATGACCTGCAGAAGGAGTGGCAACATTGCTTACATAAAGGAGGAAGCCCCTAGGGGCCCCTCTGCCCCCACTGGTTCTAACCTCAGCCAAGGGGGCATGCTCAGTCTAAAAAACAAAGCTACATTAAGGGTCAATCACACTTGTATTATAATGGCTTAACTAAGGAAAGTGGCAGAAACATTCCCTAGGTAATACAAATTCAGGGGGGCATATCTGGTCTAAAGTCCCCCCACTAGGTCCCCTCTCCACCGCAACTACCATGGAGTACATTACCCATTAGTCACAAATCAGTTAGAAATCAAATTCCTGGGGTATCTCCTCTGTGAGGTGCTCGTATAAATGGACAAATGTTACTTTTCCCATTAGCCCATAAATAGGGCTTAGTTTAACAAATTGGCTGGATGACTTTCCCAGGCCCTGGAAGGAGATGTCCTGGCACCTGGGGGCCTCTCAGCCAATGGAAGGAAAGACCCCGCCCTCCTCAGTATCCCCTGAGACCAGTTGCTTAGCAACCAGCTTTGATGCCTCTGGGGAAATTCAAAAGAGAAGGGATGAAAGGGGGTCTTAGCCTTGGTGGGGTGGGAGGTAATGGGTCCTCCTTTCTAGAAGCTGAAGCGTGGATTCTGGAGACTCCCAAGGGTGGAGAATGCCCTCTGTCTGGGAATTCTCAGCCTTATTGGTCAGTCCTTAGCTGTGCCCTCTCTGTGAACCCCTGCCTCATATATCAGCTGCCCACTCCTGTATTCTGGACCAAGGTATTTACTTATAGGTCCTGGAACAGCTTGCCACACTCCTCTGTTTTCACCACTTTCATTAGTACCCCCTGAAGGTGAAAACTAACTTACTCTGTGTGTATCTCTCTGTTTCTCTTTGTCGCTCTCTCTCTCTCTGTCTCTGTCTCTGTGCGTGTGTGTCTCTCTGTCTGTCTGTCTCTCTGTCTCTGTCTCTGTCTGTCTCTGTCTCTGCGTGTGTGTCTCTCTGTCTCTTTCTCTCTGTCTCTGTCTCTCTCTGTCAGTCTGTCTCTGTCTGTCTGTCTCTGTCTCTCCTGGGCAACATGGTTTAACGGAAAGAGCACTCAGAATAACTCAGTTCAAATCCCACGTCTGACATTTACCTGTGTGATGACCTGTGTAATTTACCTGTATAAATATCATGTCTGACATTTACCTGTGGGGAAATCACTTAATCTACCTCCATGGCCTCTGAGTTCCTTTCCGGCTGCAGACTGAGGATCCTTCTGCCAAGTCCACTCATTCCTACCACCAGCTCTCTCCTCCAGGTCCCCTTCTCTCCCTTCCCACTGCCACTATCCCAATTCAGACCTTCATCACCTCTTCCCTAGACCACTACAACCTCCTAAGTGGCATCCCCAGCTCATCTCTCACCAGCTCCAATCCATCCTCTACTCATCTGTCAGATGAATATTCCTAAAGTCTAGGTCTAACCGTGTCACCCCTCTTCTCAATGAGCTCTAACAGCTCCTAATTATCTCCAGGATCAATCCTCCATTTGGCTTCTAAAACTCTTCCTAGCCTGGCCTCTTCCTACTTCTCCAGTCTTCTTACACCTTCCTCCCCACCACCTACTCTCCAATCCAATGACATCAGTGTTCCTCAGGCTCGATACTCCATCATTTCTATGCCCTTGTAACTGTCTCTCCTCAATGCCTACAATGCTCTCCTCTCCTCTGGCTTCCTTTATGACTCAGCTCAAATCCTACCTTCCAAGAGTCCTTTCCTGTTCCCTATTCCACTGCACCTCCATGCTAGTACGTTTACTCTGGCACTACCTTCCATTTGTACTGATTGTATTTTGCCTGTACATAATTATTTGCAGTTGTCTCCCCCACTAGAATGAGAGGTCCTTGAGAGCAGGGATCATGGTTTTGCCTTTCTTTCTATACTCAGCGCCTGGGACGTATTATGTGCTTAATGATGTTTGTAGACTGACTGGCTTCCCATCATCTCCCCTTCCCCCAGGCTCTGCTCCATTTCTTCCAACTCCTCAAAGGCAATTCTCCTCTTTAGGAGAGAATCCCTCAAGCTCTCCACCCCCATCACCCTTCTCGGGGCTCTCCAGAGTCAGTTCTCCCTGAGGATTCCCTTCCCTTTCTGCCCCAGCCTTCCTGGTGCCCTCGAATCCTCTCTTCTGGTGGCCCAGCAATTTCCCAGGAACCTGTGCCCTGCCCTTTCACCTACCACTTCCTAGCCCACCCTCCCTTATTAGAGAAGCCTTTTGCTCCAGCTCAGATCAGCTGAGGGGCTGTTCCCCTTGCCTGGTCCTAAGCCCAACCAGCTTCCAGATCAGCTTGAAGCAGCACCCCTATCTCCACCCCAACCCCTCAGCCTCCTGAGCTTCCCAAGCTCAGGCAGAGAGCCTTGGGCTGCTCTTTCCATCTGGAAGGTGACAAGCCCCACAGATATAGCCCAGGAACAAATCTACCCCTGCCCCCAAAAAACTGAGGAGTGAAAAGACTTTATCCTTATATACATTTATACTTCATATTATATACATAATACATGAAGTATAATGAATAGGGCTCTGGTTTGGGGAGTCCAGAAGGATTAGATTCCTCAGATATTTAGGATCATGGATCACAGCACTGCCATTGATTTTAGAACTAGAAGACTGGTCCTTAGAGGCCAATAAGCCCAACCCCCTCACTTTACAGATAAAGCAACTGAGGCAAACAGAGGTTAAGCGAGCTACCTAAGATCACACAGCAAATAAGTGCCTGAGGCAGGTTTGAATCCAGCCCTTCCTGGGTCAATCAAGCATTTCAAAGGTGCCTATTATGTGTCTGACACCGTGCAGGGCACTGGAGGTGCCTAATACACCCCCCTCTCCCCCGTCCTCAATCTAGGTGGGAAACCCTGGAGAAAAGCAACCTGTCCCAAGCACAGCCCCACCCTTGCCCCTGCAGAGCCTGTCTACTGTCCCAGAAGTTTGGGGGAATGGGTCGTGCCAGCTTTGACCTCCCCAGACCCTATCATTGTCTCCCCACCTCTCCTCTTTCTTTTCCCCTGTGATCTCCCAGCCGGTCCTGTGTGACCCTGAGCAAGTCATTTAACCTATCTGGGTCCTAGTTTCCTCACCTGTAAAATGAGTGGGGTGGATTTGATGACCTTTAAGGGCACTTTTCACTCTAAATCTCTGACCATGTGAACCAGTGACCAAAGTCAGATAAATGACAAGCCAAGCAGGTCCAAGACCACCTGAACCACCAGGACAAAGAATGGAAACTCAGGGTCTAGAATGGACTTCCCTACAAAAACCTGTCACCAGAATTTGGGGAGGGATCACATCTAGGATCCAACATAGGCTAAAATGAAGGAACAAGGCAGAGCAGTCTAGGCCTAGGCCTATGGTTTCTGGGATGGAAAGCGGCATATCTACTTACCTCCTCCTCCTCCTCCTCCTCCTTCTTCTCTGTGAATCTCTCCAACCCCAAAAGGTCTGAGCCAATACCCCTACTCACCTGGTCCGGGTCAGCTCTATCTTACATGGGTCCAGCTCAATGTATTTCTTCTCCTCAAAGATGCGGTTGACACAAGGCTTGAGGACCTCATGGAGATAAGGTATGCCCACCAACTGCAGAAAAGAACAGGCAAGAAGCAGATAGAAAAAAAGAGGGTATAATCCAGAGATAAAGATGAACCAGACCTTGGGATTGGATTTAGGAAAAGAGTTAGAAAGCCCAGAGGGACCTGAGAACTCATCTATTCTAACCCCCTCACTTTACAGAGAAAACTAGGGTCCAAAGAGGTCACACGGCCATAGATTTAAAGCTGGAAGGGACCTCAGAGTTCCTTGTAGGCCAACTCCTTTATTTTACAGTTGAGGAAACTGAGGCACAAGAAATTTACCCAAGAGCACACAGGTAGTAAACATCAGATATGGGATTTGAACTCAAGCTCTCTGACTCTATGACAGTCTAGCCTCAGGAGAGCAATGTGAGAGACAGGATACCATGCTGCCCTATTGACTGAAACCAGACTTCTCTTCTATCTCCCCCTCCCCTACTCCAGTCAGAAATATTCTACCCAAACTAAGATAAGGCCTAAGTCTGATATCTTAAGGCTAGAATTTGAAGCAGGGGCAGTCCTAGGAGGCCTCATACTCTGTGATAACACTCACCTTCATGAACTGCTCCATGGACTTGGAGGCCAAAGAGTTCGAGCGAAAGAGGGTATTGGGATCCGCTGGAAGAGAAGGGATATGGCCCCTGGAGCAGGGGGTAGGACTGTGCACAGAGATCTTTGTGCTCTGGGTACTTCCCCTTGCCTCAGAATGGAGTCTGGGGCATCCCCAGCATGGTGCCCTAGGCAGGGCCAGGTAACTTTTCTCATTCATAAAGCCTTTTGGGAACAGACCAACAGGAAGGGAGGCAGCCTAACAGAGTGGGAAAAGCAATGGGTTTGGAGTCAAAGGTCAAGGCCTCAATTCCCAGTTCACTACCTAGTACCTGTGTGACTGTGGCCAAGGCCTTTCCCTTCTCTGGGCCTCAATTTCCTTATCTGTAAAATGAAGGGGATAGACTAGATGATATCAAAGGTCCCTTTCAGTTTTAAGAGATGTCTCCCTGCCTCAAGCTTTCCCTTTTCCAATCTATCTCACATGTAGCCGCCAATGTGATATTCCTAAAGCATAGGTCCAACCATGTCACTCTCCTACCTAATAAATACCAGTAAATATCTACTACTTCTAGGTTCAAAAACAAACTCTTCTGATTGCCATTTCAAGTCTTTCACAACCTGACCCCAACCTACCTTTCCAACTTTATTACACATTACTTATTTTGTGCTCCTAGTCAAACTAACCTTTACTGTTCTTTCTCTACCACATTCCATCTGCCATCTCTGTATCTTCACACTGGCCACACATGCCTGCAATACTATTTCCTTCCTCATCTCTTCATCTTGGAATCACTAGTCTTCCTTCAAGATTCAGCTCTAACACTACCCCCTTCATGAGGCCTGTGCTGATCCCCCTCCCAAAGCTGCTAATGCCATTCCTCCCCCAAATCACTTTGTATCTATTTTATATATACCCACAAATGACTATGTTGTCTCCTTCAATGGAATGTAAGCTTCTTGAGGGCAAGTTTCACTTCACACTTTGTATCTATTTATTTGTACCTACAAATAAACACGTTGTCTCTCCCAGTGGAATGTAAGTTCCTCGAGGGCAGGATCTGTTTCACTTCTCCCTCTATGTCTATTTTATATATACCCACAAAGGAACATGTCATCTCCCCCAATGGATGTAAGCTGCTTGAGGGCAGGACCTGTTTTACTTCTCCCTTTGTACCCCTAGTGCTTGGAATATAGTAAGGCACTTAGCCAATATCGGAGGAGTTGTAGAAGGATAGGCATTGTTGGTGGAGCTATGGAATGGTGCAACCATTTTGGAAAGCCATTTGGAATTATGCAAATAAAGTGACAGAAATGTCCATACCCTTTGAATCAGAGACTCTGTTACTGGGCTTGTACCCCAAGGAAGCCATCAATAAGTAGAAAGTCCCCATATACTACAAAATATTTACAGCAGCACTTTTTGTGATAGCAAAGAACTAGAAACAAAATAGATACCCATTAATTGGGGAATGACCAAACAAACTGTGGTGCATGAATGTAATGGAATATTACTGCACTGAGAGAAATGACGTATGTGGTGCCTACAAAGATACATGGACAGATTTACATGAACTGATGCAGTGAAGTCAGCGAGCCAGGAATAGGGTACACACAGGGACTACAATAATATAAATGGGAAGAACAATGACACACCAACAAATCAAAAGTAAATGTAACCAAATTATAAAGATCAAGTGGGACTAGAATGAAGAAGTATGAAAAGACAGCCCCAACCTACCCCTTTGTAAAGGTGAGATGGCCACAGATGTGGCCCATTGCACATGCTTTTGGGCTTTTTCAATGTCAATCAGTTGTGTTTACTTTTTTCCCCTCCATAAAATAATATTTGTCATATGGGATGACTCTCTGGGAGGGAGAGGGATACATAGGATACTACAGTGATATCAGAATTAGAAAACAGCAATAAAATCTTATTTTAAAAAAAGATCCAGCAGAACCTGAATGAAGAGATATAAGAAGATATCCCTCAACGTAGCTCCTCAGGGAGGGGAGATGTCCACACATGTTACCCATTACACATGTTTTCAGACTTTTTCAATTTATCAATCAATTATGGTGATTTTTTCTCTATAAAAATACTATTCAATATATGAGATGACTCTCTAGGAGGGGGAGGGAGGACAGATATTTGGGATAACTATGATGGTGTAAGAAACAGAAGACATCAATAAAAACTTATTTCAAAATAAAATAAATGCTTCTTTCCTTCCTTCCTTATGGGTATGCCTCATGCTCTGTCCCATCCCCTCTCATCCCCATATACTGCCTCTCTGGGTAATCTCATTAGCTCCTTCAGGTTCAGATGGCATCCAAAGCTATATTTGATATCCTAAAAGTCTTGGTGTATTTTTAATCTATTAAACTTAGCATGGTGCCTGGCACATAGTAGGAGCTTAATAAATGTTTATTGGCCATTTGTTGACTGTTGACTATTAAGGCTTAAAACTGCACTGAAGTTTTTGGGATACCCTGTATATGCACTCAGAATCTGTCTGCTGAACACAGCACCAACTACCTGCTGGACAGCTCCACATGGCTGTCCCTATGCATCTCAAACTCCACATGCCCCAAACAGACTTCATCACCTCCCCTTTCTCTTCCCCTAGGCAATCTTGTCCCCCCAAGCCCTACTTCAAACTTCTATATTTTTGTGGAGATAACTCCATCTTCTCTGGAGATACCAGGTTTACAACCTCAGGGTCACCCATGCTCCTTCTCTTCACTTTTTTTACATCCCTTACATCCAAGCATTTGCCAAGTCTTGATTCTACTTCCACATTTCTCAAATCTGATCCCTTCTCGATCCCCATGAGGGCACTGCCTAGTTTAGACCCTCATCACTTCTTTTCTGGATTAGAGAAAGAGCTCCTAATGTGTTTCCCTGCTTTCAGTATCTTGCCTTTCAAATCCATTCTTCTCACAACTCCCAAAATTAATATCCCTAAAACACAAGTATGACCATGTCATTTCCTTGCTTAGAAGACTTCAGTGGCTTCCTGTTACCTCTAAGATAAAGTACAAATGCCTCAACTTGGCACTTAAAGCCTTCAAAAATCTGGCTCCCCTGGACATCTCCAACCTTATTTCCTAATACTCCTCCTTCATATACTCTACGTTCTACCCAAAATGGCCTCTTTGACCTCTACATTCCACCTCCTGACTCTATTCCTTTGCATTGGGTATTCTTCATGCTCTCCCTCCTCATTCCCACCTCTGGGCATCCCTATCTTCCTTCTGGGTTGAGATTGGGTGTCACCTGTTTGAAGATTTTCCTGAACCCTCTAATCCCAGTTGTTAGTATTCCTTCCCAGTTCAAATCCTCTTGTATTTACTTCTGTGTACAAATGGAACAATGGATAGAGCACTGGCCCTGAGTTCAAATCTAGCTTCAGACACTTACTTGCTGTGTGACCCTAGGCAAGTCACTTAACTTCTGTTTGCCTCAGTTTTCTCAACTGCAAAATGAGGGAGTTGGACTCATTGGCTTCCTTTTTCACTCCAAATCTACAAGCCTATGTTGTACCCCTCCATAGAATGTAAGTTCCTTGAGGTCAGGGACCGCTTCACCTTTGTCTTTGTATCTCCAGTGCCAAGCATCCTTTGTTTTTTAGCTGGGCCTGTAATCAGCACCTTCTCTGCAACTTGTAATCACAAGTTGCCTGGGGAGCACGGAAGGGGAGAGTTACTTGCCCAAAATCACCCCCCCCTTCTTTCCTCTCTCTCTCTCTCTCTCTCTCTCTCT